TTGACCTCAGGTGATCCACCTCTTCGGCCTCCCAAAGTGCTGGGATTACAGGTGTGAGTCACCAAGCCTGGCCTCATCTCTATTTTGATCTCGCTCTGGTTCTGTTTCTATGCACTTCTATTTTCTCTCAATCTTGACCTCTGTCTCCATCACATAATACCTGGCATAATCTGCCATGCTCTGAATTTCTCTGCCTCAAGTCCTCTGCAATTATTTTTCCTCTTTAGCTTGCTTCTACTTTTTAGTGCAAGTTCCTCCACTCCTGGCTTCCTATCTGGAGGTGGGATGGTGAGGGGAGCTGTTCTAAGAGTACTTGCTCTCTCCCTTCCTGTCTGAATCAGAAAACCAGACTCACAACCGACCACCTTCACCACACACACACCACCACTGCAAGATGGTTAAGAGATTAGTCCTGAATGGGTGTTAAGTGCTGGGGGGTGAGGATCAGAATGGGATGGGGAGGCAAAAGCTAAGAGAGTCAAAAGAGATGGGCTGAGCTGAGTCTCTACTCCAAGAAAGACATTCTAGCAGCAGATCCAAGAGACAAAAGGTGGCACTGTGTGTGAGTCACTCAGTTTTCCCAGAATTTCCACCACTTCTGGACACAGGATGCCTCAGCTCAGCCAGCCAAACCCCATTCCCCAAACCTACAGATACCTTGAGGGATTCAGTTTCCAAGTCTGAGAATACAGTCGCATGAAAAGGACATTGAATTTTGATAAATAGCATATGTGGGTAGGATATAATATCCACGAAGTTAATTTCAGAACATTAAGGCTTTGAAAATATTTGGTGCAGAAAAGGTAGTGAATCACTTTTTAGATTATAAGAAAGGCAATCACTAATTGTGCTGGAGGAGATGTTCCCCTCCAGAGCCTGCGGTTCAGGGGTGATCCCTACACCTTAGACTTTCCAAATACACACACACACACCCCCCGACACACACTACAGCAAAGTTCTTTTTTCTCTTTTCTTAAATTTGATACAGCAAAGTTCTGATACACCAACACAGGTAATCTTTGATTATTGTTATTTAACATTATCTTGAGTAGAAAACAAGAACTTTTTGAACAAACCCTTTCCATTGATTTATTTATCTTGTTTTCTAAATCTTCAGCTTACTTTGCTTATTAATATTCTAGTGTTCCATTACATAGTAGAGTGGCTGTAGTTAATGATAATACATTGCATATTTCAAAATAGTTAGAAGAGAGGATTTTGAATGTTCTTACCACAACGAAATGACAAATGTCTCAGTAATGGATATAATAATTACCTGAATTTGATTGTTATACATTGCATACATGTATCAAAACATCACACTATACCCCACAAATATGTACAATTATTAATGGATATAATAATTACCTGAATTTGATTGTTATACATTGCATGCATGTATCGAAACAGCACACTGTACCCCACACATTTGTACAATTATGTGTCAATTAAAAAAATTTAATTGATTAATTAGGGTTACCTTAATTAAATAATGAACAAAGAGTTTTCCTTATTGTCTATCAAGGCTTTCTAAAACAACATGGTCTGCCAGCTGCGGTGGATCACGCCTGTAATTCCAGCATTTTACGAGGCTGACGGGGGTGGATCACTTGAGGCCAGGAGTTTGAGACCAGCCTGGCCAACATGGTGAAACCACATCTCTAGAAAAATACAAAAATTAGCTGGGCATGGTGGTATGCGCCTGTAGTCCTAGCTACTTGGGAGGCTGAGGCATGAGAATTGCTTGAACCCGGGAGGCAGAAGTTGTAGTGAAATGAGATCACGCCACTACACTCCAGCCTGGGTGACAGAGTGAGAATCTGTCTCAACAAATAAAAATAAAAATAAAACAACATGGTTTCCCTATTTGATAGATGGTGAAACAAGTCCCAGAGATTAAGTGACTTGCCCAGTGAAGAAAAGACAGAGCTGCTACTTGTACCCAGATTGTCTGGATCCTAAAATCAATAGCCTAAAAAGAATAATCTGCCTCTTCACACCCCACCAAGAAATTCTGTTCAGTTCTGTTGAGCTGAGAGAGAAGAACAGGCAGACTGGAAATATGAAGAAAGGGGAATGGCCCCAGAGGATTTCCCTGTGTGAATTCAATTTACCCTTATTCAGATGGGAGATTGTAGGTTATATAACCACCCCCCATATAAGGCAATCACTTCCCCGATGACATTCAAACCTGGAAAACTTGAATCCCAGGGTGTTCAGATTTTGGTATAAGATGATCTCTCAGGACCTATTTAGGCAGGATCTGGTGCCCAGGACAGAACCTGTTGACCTGGCACCATGGAGCTGGGAGGGGCTGTCACCATCTTTCTGGCACTCTGCTTGTCTTGCCTGCTCGTCCTCATTGCCTGGAAACGAATGAATAAGGCAGGAAAGCTGCCCCAGGTCCTACACCAATTCTTTTCCTGGGGAACCTGCTGCAAGTTCGAACTGACGCTACGTTTCAGTCTTTCATGAAGGTGAGTGTGTCTGTCTCCTCTAACAGGGCTTAGAGCAACTAATCCTGTAGCCAGATTCACATAGAACCTTATGCCTTCTAAAGATAGACTCTCAGAAGCACAGAGTTTGCAAATCTTAGAATTCTGAAATTCCAGAATCCTGAAATGTTGGAAACACACATTCTCAGTGCACTGAAATAAGACTTTCATGATCTCAGGACTTTGGGATCACAGTACATTATATTTTTAAACACAAGGACACTTTGACTCAGGTTGTCTTAGCGCTTTGAGACTTGGTATCATGAAGTCTTCAGATTCTAGAAATTTAACATTTCAGAGAGAGAAGTATGAATCTTGGAATTTATCGAATCCAGGTCCATTATTTTATAGATGAGAACAGTAAGTCTTGTGGGGAGGGATGAGCTTTTGCCTAGGATGACAGAAGCCAAGACTTCTGTGCCTGTTTCCCAGTAGTCCTTCTAAGCCCAGATTTACTTTGATTCCTTAGTACCATGTTTATATCCCCCGGAAATCACCATCCTCTAAAATCCTATTGGCCTATATGTGGTACTCCAATCAGCCCCTCCTCTTGTGTTTTCCTTCACTCCAAGCTCAGGGAGAAATACGGCCCTTTGTTCACTGTGTACATGGGTCTCTGGCCTGTGGTGGTTTTATGTGGACATGAAGCAGTGAAGGAAGCCTTGATCGACCAAACAGATGAGTTCAATGGCCATGGAAAACGGACTTCAATAGAGCAAAACTTCCAAGGTCATGGTAGGTAGCAACAACAACAAAAACAATAAAACCAGAAATGACTGCAATGTACTCCCTCTATGCCAGGTTCTTTGGTAAGTAAGTACTCTACATGACTTATTGCATTGCCTCCCTTAGGAGAGCTGTTAACATTATACTAATGTTGTCAATGAAAAAGCTAAGATAGGCAGGGCGTGGTGGCTCACGCCTGTAATCCCAGCACTTTGGGAGGTTGAGGCGGGTGGATCACCTGAGGTCAGGAGTTCGAGACCAGCCTGGCCAACATGGTGAAACCCCATTTCTACTAAAAATTAAAAAAAATTAGCTGGGCATGGTGGTGCACACCTGTAATCCCAGGTGCTCAGGAGGCTGAGGCAAGAGAATCGCTTGAACCCTGGAGGCAGAGGTTATAGTGAGCTGAGATTGCACCATTGTACTCCAGCTTGGGCAAGAAGAGAGAAACTCTGTCAAAAAACAAAAAAAAAAAAAAAAAAAGAAAAAGCTAAGATAAAGGTTAGATAATGTCACACAGTAAGTGGTATGATCATTTTATTTTGAGCCTTTGCCATCTGACTCTAAACAGTTTTCTGTGTTATTTCTGCCCTTATTTTCAATGGATTAGCAATATATATAATATATATATTTATATATATATACACACATTTTTTTTTTT